CAAATCGCGAGGTTCGGCGCGCGGCAAGGACCCCGGCGGTCGCGAGCAAGTTGTCGTTGAGGTGGTGGAGGCATGCGTTGCGGCCGGCATTCCGCGGGCCGAGCGGGGACATGCGCGACCCCGCGCCGGCCGTCCGCGCAGTAATCCGCGGACGGTTCCCCCTCGACGCGGCGGGGATCAGGGTGCCGACGGGAATTCTGGCGCTGCTGAAGGAGGACGTGGGTCACTGTTGGCAGGCGGCGGATGCGCGCGAGCAGCTTGCGGCGCGCCGCCGCTTCCCTGTGCGCGGCGGCCAGCCTGGGCTGGCTGGGCCTTGGTTGAGGTGGCTCGCGACCGTGGGGCCTCGGTGCTTTAAGCGCGCCCTCGCCTTCGCGGGCGAGGCCGGCGCGACTGCTGGGGCCCGGGCCGCCGCGCGGTCGGAATGCGACGTTTGCGGTCAAGACTGCCACGGAGAGAAAGGATTCGCAAGTCATCGACGCGCGGCGCGCAGGGCCGCTGCGAGTCCGACGGGGCTCTTATCCGAATAATGCCGGGAAGATCAGATATGCCCGTTCTGCAGGGCAGATTTGCGAGGAAAGACGCGCTTAGCAGACGCGTTTTTTCTGAAGCGATGCCCGGTGCATCCAGACGGCGTTCTGGCTCGAGCACCGTGGGGGGGCGGCCCCTTGCCGCGGCGGCCCCCCCTGCCCCCGCTTGTTCTCGGGGGCCGAAGTCCCGGCCGATCGGGGGGCGAAGGCGGCGCCGACGGGGGGCCGGAAAAGGGCTGCGGCTGCGGCGGGCGAGGGGGCCGAGGCAGGGGGGGGGGCAGGCGACGTTGTGAGGCCGCTGGGCAAGGCATCGGCGCGGCTGGCGCTGCGGCGTGAGGGCGTCGCGAGGGCGCCCCGCCGCGGCGACAATTTCGTCGCCCCGCTCGAGCCGCGCGACGAGATGGAGGCGGCGCTGGGCCAGGCCCTGGCGAATTGCGAAGAAGAGGGCGGCGAGGCGAGGGGGGTGCGCAGGGGGCGGGCCAGGCCGCCATGGGCAACCCGCTGGGCAAGAGGCCAGATGCGCTGGCGAGAGCGGCCGTCTTCAGCATCGCGGAGGCCGTGGAGGCCGACGAGGGGCAAGTGGCGGCGGCGGCGGACCAGGGCACGGGGCCGCAGGGGGCGAAGCAGGCGATCGAGGCGGTACTCCGCGTGGGCGAGCTGGTGCAGGGCCCGTCAGTGAAGTTCGTGGCCGCGAAGTGCTTCCGCGCGAAAGCCAAGGGCGGGGTGGGCGACGACGAGGCCGTGGGCGCGGGGGGGGGGTGAAGTGGATCTTCGCAGTCAACCACGACTCAACTCTGAAGGAGGCGCTGGAGGTCTCGAGGATGAATGCGGCGCTCGAGGCAACGGGCGTGCAGGTGCAACGCAACATCGCCATTCGCTCGAGGGCGGCAGAAGACGTGAGGGCGTTGGCCTTCAAGGGGGGCAAGACGAGGGTCTCGGGCAGGGGTGGGGGGAAGCTGAGGAGAAAGTGAGCGATACGGTTGTGGCTTCGCTATTCCGCCTTCCTCCCCCTCCCATCGGATCACCCCTTCCCTTTGGTTTCCACTGCCGTCCTCAGGCCCTCCGCCAGTAGGCAGTAGGCAAGCGAATTAGTTTTCGAACTCGGCGGTGTGAGGCGAGGTTGGGCCGCGCTAAATTGTGGAGGCCGCAGCGCCCCTCTCCACCAGGGGAGGGGAGGGCCGCCCTTGCAAGTGCCGCGTCTGCACAGGCGGGGGTGCGCGGGAGCGGGGTTGGGGGACAGCTGCCTCGTCGCCCCGTGCCCGCCCTCCTTTCGGGCGCCGACCGACTTCGGGTCGCTCCGCGCAATTTTTGAGCGGTTGTCCTGTCGCCCCCGCAAAACTCTCTAGTAAATGAGAATAGCGACGAACAAAAGGAACGGCGGTGGAAAGCGGCGGAAGTAAAGAGGCGCCCCCGGTTGGTGACAGCATTTTTGGGTTCAGGGTTTCCGGAATCGGCCATGTGGCAGGCCGCTTCCCAGGCGTTGCCGTCTCGCTGGCGCCACGGCGCCGCCGTCGAGCCTCTCGTGGGGCCGTCCCACGGGACGAACAAGCGCAGCGTCCAGTTCTTCGGTCTTCGATCCTCGATCATCGGCATTCGGCTCTCGTTTCTCGACCGTCGATCCTCGAACCCCCGATTCTCGATCCCCGTGCCTCTACCCTCGAACCCTTGGACCCTTCAACCCTCGAGCCTTCGAGCCCTGGTCGTCGAACTTTCGACCCCCTCGACCCCTCGACCCTCAACCCTCGAACCTCGAATCCTCGACCCCTCTTTGGCACGCACGAAATGGACAGCGAACGTCATCCCAAAACAACGTCTGCCGCTGTTGGGCGTGCCACACCAGCCTCAAATGCACAACGCCCGCGGGCCTAGGTCCCTCGATTTCCCGTGCCCCACTCGGCCGAGGGTCGCTCTTTGGTGCTGGCCAAGGCTCGCTTGGCGAGTGCTGCGGGCGAAACGTGTTTGGCGAGGCTCCACCCCCAGCTGCGCGTTGAGCTCGGCGCGCTGCGCGCCAACGGAGGATGAGGACGAGGAGGACGAAGACGAAGACGAGGAGGAGGAGGAAGAGGAAGAGGAGGAGGAGGAGGAGGACGACCATAGTAAACCAACGCTTCATCACCGATATCGCGATAGACCCTCCTTCCAAGTTCTGCTTTCATAGGCCCCATACACGGATTCATTTTCAGTGAAAGGGAGTGCCCCGTTGGAAACCAGCCACTGAAAAAAGTCTTGAACATTACTTCTGGGACTGAAGCGCCGCGAATCACGCTTATTGTTGCGGTTTGACGATCCTGAATCGTACCAGACCGCCGTCCTTCGGACTTCAGCACCACGAATCAACGTAACTGTTGCGCCCAGGTAATCCGACATCATACCACAACAACATTTTTGTGACGTCCGCCATGATAATTCTTTACGCTTCGCGTATCCCCACCAGCCCATCTCAAAACAGCAACTCTTGCGAAGCATGCCGGCAGTCGTGTTTTTCAGGCGTGTTTCCGCCTGCCCCCGCATATCTCCCCTGTTCCTCCTTCCTCCCGCCTCCTTGTACATCCTCCTTGTGGTGGGAGCGGGAGAAGGACGAGGCGGAGGAGGAGGGAGAGAAAGCGCTCCTCGTGGTTTGAGTCGTTTGGGGTTTCTCGTCCTGGTGTGAGTCGTTCGGGCCCTTCTTCCTGGTGTGAGTCGTTCGGGCTCTTCGTGGTGTGAGTCGTTCGGGCTCTTCGTCCTGGTGTGAGTCGTTCGGGCTTCTCGTGGTGTGAGTTGTTCGGGCCCCTCGTCCTGGTGTGAGTCGTTCGGGCCCCTCCTCCTGGTGTGACTCGTTCGGGCTCCTCGTGGTGTGAGTCGTTCGGGGCCTTCGTCGTGGTGTGAGTCGTTCGGGCTCCTCGTGGTGTGAGTCGTTCGGGCGCCTCGTCCTGGTGTGAGTCGTTCGGGCCCCTCCTTCTGGTGTGAGTCGTTCGGGCTCTTCGTGGTGTGAGTCGTTCGGGCCCCTCGTCCTGGTGTGAGTCGTTCGGGCTCCTCGTGGCGTGAGGCGTTCGGGCACCTCGTCCCCTTTTGGGGCGTCTTGGGGGCCTCTTGGCGGCCCCAGGGGCTTCTAGGAGCGTCTTGGGTGCCTTGGGGGAGCCTCTTCGGGCCTCTTGGGAGCCTCTTGGAGGCGTTTGGGGCGTCTTGGGGGCCTCTTGGCGGCCCCAGGGGCTTCCAGGAGCGTCTTGGGTGCCTCGGGGGAGCCTCTTGGGGCCTCTTGGGGGCCTCTTGGGGGCATCTTGGGGGCCTCTTGGAGGCCTCTTGGGGGCCTCCTGGGGGCCTCTTGGGGCCATCTTTGGGCCTCTTGGTGCCTCCTGGGCGCTTCTTGGGGCCATCGTGGAGGGGATGGATCAAAGAAGAGGGGAGCTTCAATGAGCGCTGCCCCCTCAGAAGGGCAAAATGAGCCCAAACCCTTCGTAAAATCAATGATTTTGCCTTGAAGGAAGAGGAGAGCTGTAATGAGCGCTGCCCCCTCAGAAGGCCAACATGGGACCCAAACCGTAGTACAATCAATGATTTTGGCTTCAAAGAAGAGGAGAGCATTTTTTCTGGTCCTCCCCGTCGGGGCCAGAATCCTCGTGAGGGGTGTCGTTTTTTAGCCCTCCCAGGAGTCGAAAAGGACCCCCCTGACCACCCGCGAAAGGACCTCTCCAGGCCCAGGGGGAGGGGGTAATTAGGGGGAGGGGTAAACCCCTCCCCGAAGGGGAAGGAGGGTTGAGAACAGAGCGGGCTCTCTAAACCACTCACGCCCAAAGGGCTGGTGGGATTTTTGAAACGGCTGCAAGCTTTTAAATCGAATGTGCGATGCGCTGAAAGGAGAACCACATGTTGAAAAATGAGTCGCCCCCAACCATTGCAGCTCTTGCAGAAATATTCAAGGTGTGCGCGGCGCCAAGGCGAAAACCGCACGTTGAAAACGACATGCCCTCCACCTGTGAAGCGTTTGCAATTTGTTACCACGAACAATCGCGGCGCCAGGGCGCGAGCTACATTATGAGAGCGACCCGCCCTCCATCCGTGAATCCTTGCAACGTTTTATAACGAATGTGCGCGGCGCTCAGGCGAGAACACCATTTTGAAAACGACTTGCCCTCCATTGACCGTGATGCTCTGGGCTCTGGCAATGTGTGAAAGACAGATGTGCGGGGGCCAAGGCAAGAGTCACGTTTTGAAAACCTCCCGCCCTCCATCCGTGAAACCTTTTGCAAATCTTGAGAGGGAATGTGCGCGCCGGCAGAGCGATAACCACATTTTGAAAACAACCCGCACTCCATCCGTGCAGTTGCTGCAGCTCTGTAAGCTTCAGGATCATAGATGGTGGGGAAGTCTCAGGCGAGACGCCCGGCCCGCCGTTTCGACTGGCCTCGGGGTGGAAGACGAGGACGAGGAGGAGGGGCCGACGGCTCCTTCGCGCCCTTGGAAACGAGCTCCTCCGTGACGACCGCCCCCGAGGAGGCCCTGCTGCACCACCTGCTGCCCCGCGGCGACCCCCTTGCCGGCGGCACGCCGGCGGCGGGCCGCGGCGGCGGGCCGGTGGCGGCGGCGGAGGACCCGCGGGGGTGGAGGGGGTCGAAGTGGCGAGGGTCCCAGATCTCGGAGGGGGGTCGAAAGGGGTCGAAAGGGGTCGAAAGGGGTCGAGGGAGTCGAGGGTCCGAGCCCAGATTTCCGAGGGGGTCGAGGGAGTCGAGGGAGTCGAGGGAGTCGAGGGAGTTCAGGATCCGAGCCCAGATTTCCGAGGGAGTCGAGACTGTCGAGGATCCCAGATCCCAGATCTCCGAGAGGCTTCGAGGGGGTCGAGGGGTCGAGGATCGCAGGTCCCAGATCTCCGACGATGTTTTCTTGGCAGACTTGTTCTTTGTTCAGTCTCCTGCGTTGGGCTCCCGTTTTGAATAGAGCACTCTCCTCGCGCGTCTCCTTCTATCCCCACCCCTCCTCCCCCCATCCTGCCTCCTGCTTAGCATCGGCCCTCCTTCGTTGGGCTCCCTGTTTGAGAGATTAATGCTCGCGCGTCCGCGTGTCTCCTCTGGCCTCCCTCCTCTTGCATTCTGCCGCTTGCATGCACGCTTTCTGCTGCGTAGCGGTGGGCACCCGCGTAGCTGGCTGCGTTTCTGTGGGCTCCCTGGGAGGCCCGACGCAGTGGGGTCACACGCGCACCCGAACTCGGCCTCACGGCTTCCTGGGGGGTGCTGCCACCTGCGCAACGGTCGTCGCTCCCGTGGGCCTCTGGGAGGCCCGGCGCCATGGTGTCGCATGCACATCCAGACTAGAGACCTCGCGGCTCCCTGAGGGTGCTGCCATTTGCGCGTCCATGGCCACCTGCACAATTGTCGCCACTTTCGTGAGCCCCTCTGCGGCCCTGTGGTGTCATACGCATGATATCACTGGACTGCACTGACATATTCTTGGTTAGATAAGAGCCAGACCCGGAAATCAAGAGCCGAATCCAGAGCCAGAGCCTGGAAGCATTTCAGACCCAAACACGGAAATTCCGAGGCAACCCAGACACTGGTTCTGAGGGTTCTTGGGTGGGTCAGGGAGGAATGAGTAGAGGAGGAGGCGGAGGTGGGAGAGGAGCGGGAGGAGGGATAGCGAGAGGGTTTGTTTTTACTCCCATGGGAACGTTTGTTGTCGCCCTCGTGGTGGTTTGTTCTTTCCCCTTGGGGGTGCGCTGTTGCAGCCCCTCGAGGAGGTTGTTTTCGCCCCTCGGAGGTTTTGCTTTAGCCCTTCGGAGGGTTTGGTTTAGCCTTTCGAAGGGTATGTGTTAGCCCTTCGGAGGGTTTGTTTTAGCCCCTCGCACGGTTTGTTAAAACCCTTCGAAGGATTTGTTCAAACCCCATGTGAGAATGTGTCGTAGCCCCTCGGAGGTTTGTGTTAGCCCCTTGCACAGTTTGTTTTAACGCTTCGGAGGGTTTGTGAAAGCCCCATTTTAGGGTTTGTTTGAGCCCCTCGGAGTTTGTTTTAGCTCTTCGGAGCGTTTGGTTTAGCCCGTCCAAGGGTTTGTATTAGCCCCTCGGCGGGCTTGTGGCTGCCCCTCGGCGGGTGTGGTTCAGCCCCTCGGAGGGTATGTTCTCGCCCCATCGGAGGGTTAGTTTTAGGCCCTCGGGGTGCTTGCTGTAGCTCCTCGCAGGGTTTGTTGAGCCCCCCCCGACTAGATTAGACTAGACATCGTAGACTAGACATCGCGGCTCCCTGGCGCGCGGGCCCAGATTCGAGAAAGACAGACAGCCCTGCGTGTATAGGGAACTGCAAGAAGGCCCAGATATCAAAGCAGAAGGAAGAGGGGCAGGAAAACGAAACCGTATACGTTCAATACTAGCTCCTCATCCTCCACCAGTAAGCTGGCGAAAGGCGGGATGCTCATGCCGAAGATGAAGGCGGTAGGTCATGCCCCACATGCGCTTTTAGTGGAGGAGTCGGAGTCGGTGTCGGTGTCGGTGTCGTAGTCGTAGTCGGAGTCGGAGTCGGAGTTGGAGGAGGAGGAGGAGGAGGAGGAACCGAGGAGGGAATGACAGACAGTCTGCAACTGCAATAGTATATCGGTGCACTTGGCCCATTGCAGCTTGGGTCGTCCGCGTCTCCGAACTACATGCCACTTCCTCGGCTTATTCGTTTTATGCTCGTTCTGATACCGAAGGAGAAACAATTACGTATGCAAAACTTTCGGAGGTCCGTGCGGATCTCTTGGATCGGCGCTGGATCCCCTCTCCCTGGCGCCCCGAGCGCGCCAGGGGCCAGGGGCGGCACCAGATGAGCAGCCAGGTGTCCCGCGCCGATCCAATAAATCTGCTCGGAAATCCGAGAATCCAAGAATCCGAGGAATCCGATCCAAGAATCCAATCTGTGGGAGAGGGTCGGGATGCGCGCGGACCTACAGTTCATGTGTACTGTGTGTGGTTATTCTTTCCTCCCCTGCAGTCCAGCTTTCAGCTTCCCCGCTCGCCCGACCCTCTCCCGCCGTCTCCTCCTCCACTTCCTCCTGGTCGCCTCCTCTGGGCCTCCTGTGGGCGCCCCTTGCCGCCTTCTCGTGGTCTCGTCCTCGTCCTCGTCCTCCTCCTTCGCCTGTTCGCGCCCTCCTGTGCCTCCTTCCCTCCTGCCCGGTTAGTTCCCCAGTATTGCTCAGTCCTGGTCGCCCGCCTCAGTGTCGTTCAATGTATCATCATCCCCACCGGGCCTTGGTATCTCAGCCCCACCATCCCACCACCCCAGTTGGGGATAGCCCTCGGAATTATGTCTTTACAGTGCATCAGCGTGCGCTGGCGTCTGGTAGTCGATGCCAGAGCGCCGATTCAGCGTCGGTCAGCGTCAATCTAGCGTCGATCAGCGTGGCTTTGGTGTCGATTAGGCGCCCCTGGTGGGTCCCTCAGGGCGGAGTTGCGCTGGCTCGGCGACGGGGATTGGTATCGGTTGAACGAGGCTCACCGCTCCCCCCTTGCCAGGCGCCGCCCGGCCGCGCGGCGGGCTGCGCTGCTGTCGGCAGCCTCCCCGCGCGGCCTGAGGAGCGGTGTGCCTTCAAGGCCGCCGCAGAACGGCCGCTCGGCGACAGCTCCGTGCTGCTCAAGGACAAGCAGCAGACCATCTGCATGGCGGACTTCGGTGGAAGATCAGTCGTGCGAGGTGGGGATTCACCCATATCCACCGCCTGGGAACCGACGTCCTGGGGACCCAGCGGGCGGTGGTTGTGGATACATGTTAGCCCCAGGGGGCTAAGACCTATCCATATCCACCGCCTGTGGAGGTCCGCCAAAGTCGATCCCCGAACTTGGATGTAGCCAGGATCCAAGGGTAAGGGGAGCCGTTTAGGGATAGGACCCGAAGCCCCCCCAAATTGGCCCGAATGATTAAACCAGGCCTGCCGTAATTGGTGTTTCTTCGGGTGGCAACCGTTTCAGTCGGTGGGATGTGGCGGGGGGGCGTCCCCCTGTACACATCACTGAACCCATTTCCTCTAAACCCAGTCCTGCCAACGCACGGATCAGCATCGTTTAACCGATGCCCGTCTCCACGGAAATGTTTTCTTATCCTTTGGCGCGTAACGGTCGTTACTTGGGCCAAACCCTTCTCCCGATCCTATGTAGGGGGGGAGGGCTGGACTCCCCCCCCACCGGTTGGTGCCCGCGCGGGAACTATGGCGATCGCAGCGCACCCCCGCATCGACGCGCCCCACCCCGCCCAAGCGTTGCTGGCACCCGTGGTCCTAACCCCCTCCCCCCCGAGTTACGACAGCTACCAGGGAATACTTGAAAGCAAGCTTTTCTGGGCCATTGCGACCATTGTACCTCAGCCACGCCAGCCCAGCCCCCAAGGTGGAGCTAGGCCCCACGAAATCCGAAGTGAACCGCACGCATCCCATCCATGGGATGCATCGGTCAGTTGGGCCAAGGCCAGGCCTAAGGATAGGTTATGAACGATGCGAAGCAAAGGACATAGTTGCATAAAAATCTCATTTCGGAGCTCCGCGCGGATTTTTACGTGTGGCGCTGGACACTCTCTGGCGACGCCTCCAGCGCCGCCCCTGGCGAGCTCCGCGCGCCAGGGGTGGGGCCAAGCGCCGATTCAAGAAATCCTTGCGGATCTCTAGGACTTCATTGTTTTTGCCGATGTTTCCACCAACCCAGACATCCGAAGGATTTACCTTTTCAATTCGCGCGTTTCTCTTCGGTTTCGGCCTCTGGAGGCCGTCTTCGGGGCCCCAGGCCATCATCCGGGAGGAATCATTGTCCTTGGGAAGGGGTCAGAAACGCTGGGGCCGCGGATTGAACAACCACATCGTCGGACTTCTGGGAAACTTACTTCAGAACATACGCACCCTGGAGAGGGGATCCTCAGGACACACCTCGGGACCCCCAAGGGCCAGGTCTTTTCACATGCCGCGACTGGGTCCGTGGGCCTTCCGACACCTCACCGGGGGTACGGCGCCCTTGGGGACGTTTGCGCCTCCCGAAGGACTCCCCGCATCCGGAGTCACCTGCGGTACCCAGGCTCCGACTTGTTTTTGGCAGTAAGCGGGAAAGATTGGACCCCAAACGCTGGATTATTTCATTCTTCTCGATGTGCAACCTTTGTGGTGTATTGTGTGTGTGTCTGGTGCAACCCGTGTGCTGCAAGATGTGCAGTGCAAGGGATGTGATGCACTCTAGCTACTTGGTGCAAGCTATGATGTGGTGCAATCTTAGGGCGTAATCTATGTGTGGTACGATCTACAGGGTGCGACCAGTTATGAAAAACTTCAGGTCCACTCCACTGCTCGTTCAAACATCCAAGTCTCCCACCCGCCGCTTGCTTGGCAAACCCCGCTCGCCGACGATTTCGGTTACTGAGTGGCACTTGCTAGCGCATTTCTATGACCGCGCTGGCGCGTGACCCATCGCGCGCAGAGCGACCCGCCTTCTTGGCACAACTGATGTGGCCACGATAGCGTTTACTGGTGGAAACTTCCCGGTGCTTCTCATAGGCCGCGCTGGCGCGCGGGCACTTCAATGCGGGTCGCTGATTCGAGCGGGCGCGATATCGTGATGACGTCAACGGCGGCGGCAACGATAACGATAATGATAATAGCGAAGGTGGTTGCGACGATGACGATGACGACGGCGAGGCCGCTGACGGCGCCGATGCGGGCGACTAATAGATTATGACGATGATGATCATGATGATGATGATGATGATGATGATGATGATGGTGATGATGATGATGATGATGTTGATGATGATGATGATGATGATGTCCATGTGTCGGTGATGAGGTGGCTGTGCTGATGATGGCAGCAAGGGTGGCGAATGACGATGACGAAGAATGCGGTGATGCGATGACGCTGATGAGGATGATGAAGAAGTGTGCGCGCAGAAATCCCAGAAATATGGTCGACTTGTTATTGAGACACGGTTGTTCTTTCTCACTGTGTTTGAAGAACTCTGCTCTGAATGGCAACCATTGTTTTCGGAACGATTTCGACCTGCGCGCGAAGTGGCGCGCGCGTGGCTTGCATGGTGTTATTTGCCACAGGTATGTGTAGTGGGCGTATGCGAAATCTATGCGGATGGTACCGCGTGGTGGGGTGAGAATGCGTATTTTAGACGAGATTGCTAAACTCAAATGATCCCCAGATGAATTCAGCACGTGCACGCGGGCAGGAAAAGTGTAAGATTTTTGGGCTTACGCCGCATCGCCGTTCCCCTTGTGAAGGTGCCGCAGGGCCAATCGGACCAGTTCCCTTTGGTGCTTTTAATGGTGGCGTCCGCAGACCAGGACGGGAAGCCACAGGTGCACGGCAACAGGGCGAAGGAGCTGGTCGACGCCTTGTTCGTCTTCGGTGACGAGCACATCCAAATGACCATGATGGCGGTCAGTCAGTTTCCTGAGAAGGCCCTGTCCTTGGCTTGTGCCGCGCGGGACTTAGAGAACACGGTGCGAATATCGGCATAGCGATTATGATTCTCGCCAATGCTGATGCGCGAGGAGCGCAGACCTGTGGAGAGAGGCCCAAAGACGAGACTTGAAACGCAAGTGGCGAGGTTTGCGAGGGACCTTCCCGACCTGAAAAGAAGGCGCCAGGGGACGTCCGCGTGGCGAACGACAGCGGCCGCGTCGGGCGTCTGGTTGAGCCTGGAAGAGGAGGCGTCCGATGGATGCGAGATAGAAGTCGTCAGGAAATGCGTCAGAGATGGCCATGGCGAACTAGACGCTGTCTTCAACGGCTTGCCGAGCGGCCAAGCAAGCGTCTTGAGGTTGCTGAGGTTGGGCGCCCACGTGAGAGCTCTGAGCCTGGTCGCCCGGCCGTCGGGGTCGACCGGCTGGCCAGAGCTGCTGTGCCGAGCGGCCGGGGTCCTCCAGCAGGACGGTTCGACGTTACGATTTGCGGTGCCCGTGGCGGCTATGAGCGACGGGCACAGGCCCCGCGTGCTCGTTTGGGTCGGGCACCTTCTTGGGCTGTGCAGGAGCGGCGAGATCCGAGAGGACGTAACCTTCGTCGCTGGGCATGGTCGCAAAAGCGCTGGACAGATCTTGCCAACTGAGAGGTCTCGAACCTGCGAGTCTGGAGCTCGACGCCGCTGCTGGGAAACAGCAGGATGTCGAAGCACGGCGCCGCCGCCATTGATAGCCGCGCAACTCGCGATAAGCTGGCGCTTTACATGGCGGGGGGAGCCCTGAAGAAAAAGTATTACGTGAATGAAGGAGCACATCAGTTTCGAGACCCCCCCCTCGCGATGGGTACTTAGCACCTCTGGCGAGTCAGCAGCAGCGGGGTTGACGCTGGCTGCGACGGGGCTTCCGAGCCCGACGGCTCACAGGTTTGAGCTGGTTGAGCTGGGGGAGCCGCCGCGGGAATGTTTGCCGTGGTGTGCCTTGAGATCGACGTGGATTGCGGCGCGGGCGCGGGCGGCGTGGACATCGCTGATCAGGTCGGGGGCGAGGCTGGTCAAGCAGTCCGGATCCTTCGCGAGCTCGCGCAGATCATCGCGGAGATTCTGGGACACTGCTACGGGCAGCAAGTCGCGAGAGTTTGATGGAGCTGGGCGGGGAGCTGCGACTTCTTTGATTACCGGGTCAGAATTGTGGTCGCGACGGTGACTTGGACGGGATGTGGGCATGCTTCAGCCGCGGGTCCGAGGAACGTGGCGGTCACGGACAAGTCGCCCCACGCGACGTGGGCGCTGGGAGAGGCCTTGACTCTCCAGGGCGCCGAGAAGATGACCTGAAGAAAGAGGGCCCTTTGCGAGGACATAGCGATGACAGGAAGGCGAGCAAGTGAGTTGAGGAGGACCGCCATCCGTTTTCGTCGCGTGTCCGAGCTCCCCCCTCGGAGGCCAGAGCTGACGCCGCGCGTTGTCTGAGCCTGGCGTGCGTCCTGGGGCGCAGCATGGGGTCCGTTGGGCCCTGCTGCCCGCCGTGCTGATCTGGAGGGCCTGCCCTAGCAGTGCCAGCGGCCAGCCCTGGTGACCCGCCTGCAGGGAGCAGTCGCGCCCTTGATGTTGGCGCGGTGCTGTTATCTTCTTCTCTATCGTGGAGCGGTGGAGCGGAGCGGTGAGGGCGGATGCGACTGCTGTCAGGAGCATACTTTACCGCTCTGTCCCCCAGCGCCGCCCTTCTTATCATGAGGGATGATTTATGAGGTCGTGTCGCGCGACGACGATCGCTGGATTTTGGCTCAAGGGCGCGAATCGTCCGAGAGCGGACATTGAGCTGTTGACTTGGATTACGGCGGGCGCCCGATCGCCGTGGGAGCATCACCATGCCGTCATTTTTTTTTTTTTTTTGTTTTTTTAAAAAATCTTCTTGCAGTCGATCTTGTTCGAGTTGAGGTGTGCTACGAAATAACCTGGGTAATATACCCCTATCCTGGGCGAGGCCGCCAAGGCTCGCCCTCGATGGGGGGATTTCGGATTTTGAGATTGGACAAGCAGATCTATTCAGAAGACCTATTCGATTGATTCAGGGCGCTTTTGGGGGTGAAAGGCTAAGATTTTCGGTTCGTTGTCCCACTCTTGGGCCCTCCTTGGGGCCTCTTGGGGCCCTCTTGGGCCGTCCCGGGCGCCTCTTGGGCCGTCATCGGGCCATCTCGGGCCGTCTTGCGGCCCACTTGGGGGCTTCGGGGGCTGTCTTGGGGCGGTCTTGGGGGCCTCGTGCGCCGCCTTGGAGTGTCGGGCGCTCGAAACTAGATGGCCTTCCTAAGCGTGGGAAAACCTGGGGGGCATCAGTGCTTTTGGCCTCTCAGGCCCTCTTGGGAAGGCTCTGTGGGTTCTCTTTGGGGGCATCGAAGGCTTTTTGCGCCGTCTTGGGGCCATCCTGGGCGCCTGGGGCCGATCGCGCGGCGACTCGGGGCCCTCTGAAACCGTCTGGGCCGCCTCGCTGGGCCCTCTTGGCCCGTTTATTGGCTGGGACCCAAACGAATCACGGGACAGGACGCGACAACCCCCAGGGGGCACGCTTTAAACCCCAGAAGATTTGTGAATGTTGGGTCCGGGCTCCGCAAAGAACCTTCGGGATTGAGGACTGAGGCTTAAGGGATTAGGCCATTTATGACACTCCACTTCGTGCCTGGGGGCACTGTGGCGCGCGTTCTTTTGTTTTGCAAGGAAACATTGGCACATAGCCTTTTGAGATGATTGAGTGCGCGCGCATGGTACCTTCTGTTTGGGATGATGGGGACAACTGACGTTGTTTTGGCAGGCGTTGTGTGGTTTCCGATGCACGATTCGGCCAACTCATCTGCAAACGGAGTACGCGCAGAGGGGGTGGCAAGAGTCCGGGCTGGGCAAGGCGTGTCCACATCAGCATATACGTTATATTTGTAGATTTGCATTGCACATTCACATGTGTCTACATGTGTATGCATATGTGCACTTGTGTGTACATATATATAAATATGATGTGCAGCTTTTGTGGCAGCAGCCCAACGCACACGGTGGCGAAGAGGCGGCGATGGGCGGCGAACGGGCGAACACTTAGAAACACCAGCCACCGCACAGGGCGGCGACTGGCGGCGACACTATTACACAGGGCGGCGACGGAACGGCGACAGGCGGCGACCAGGCATGAAACCCGACATGTGGCCACCCGGTCACCTGCAAAAGCGCGCCTGGGTCGGGAATGATGCTAGGGCTTGAACCCTGGAGAGGTTTCTTTTGCAGCAAGCGTGGAGCCCCGTGCGTGTGAAACCCCATGCAGGTGGACAACTACTTGCGGGGGAAATCCAATGCACATGTAGATGTATGTGTATATAGACACATATGTCTATGTCTAAGTCTGTGACTATGCAGATGTATGCGTTTACGTAAATGAGCATGGGCATATGCATATGTTTGTGTACATGTATATGTATGTGTATATGTACAGGTATGTGCATGTTTATATGTACGTGTAGGTCTAATCGTATGTTTACTTCTACGTACGTGTATGTGTATGTGTATGTTCATGTGTATGACAATATGTATACGTATATGACTATTTGTATGTATATGTATATACACATGTATATGCATA